AGAATGGAGGAAAAAGAGAAAAGAGAACTACATGGAGGGACCTGATGAGTGACCTGCAGAGACCTGGAACCAAAGGAGAAAAGGCTACCATCAGTAACACACTACGCCGAGAGGGACTCAAATCTTGCAGTGTCCCCCTGCTTAAGACAGCACATGCCCGGGCTGAAGTCTGAAGTCAATGAGAGAGCATATGGATGATCCAGAAGAGGACTGAGAGAACACCATGTGTGGTCAGATGAAACCAAAACTTTTTGGCACAAACTCAACTCGTCATGTTTGGAGGAAGAAGAATGTTCAGTGCATCCAAGAACACCATACATCATGCTTTGGGGCTGTTTTTCTGCAAAGCGGACAGGATGTCTGTCAACTGTGGAAAATTAACGAAGCCATGAAATGTGTGATTTAAAGCCAATACTGTATCTCATACTGTCAGGGGGAACATTGAAGATGAAACATAGCTGGGCCTTCTAGCACGACAATGCTCCCAAAAACACAGCTGGGACAATGAAGGAGTGTTCTACAAAAAACATTTCAATGACCTCTCCCATCCCTCTAAGGAGGAGAGCTTGCTTGCTTCTGTATTTTGGATAACTGTCCTGTTGATTACCCAGATTTGGTTTACTTGTCAGACAGATGGCCTCACATCTGTTTTTATTTTAAAATTAAGAGCATATTCTTGATTTAAAGACTGTAAAACAAGTCAAAGTAATTATTTGTTGGCCTCTATGCTTGACAGTAATTATCAGTGTTTGTTTTATTATTTTACTTTTGGCTTTTTCAAAACATGTTATTATAAATTATGTACCAAATTCTCTTCTTCAAATATCTCTATTGCAGTTGCATTTTTCTATTAATTCAACATGCAGGTACACACTTATACCCTGTAGGGTATAAATACAAGTTGATCAGAGACACACCTTCATAGAAAGCCATCCCATCCTCCTCCAACTTGAACTGCTTGCTTAAAGGCACTGAACTAATCAGGCATAACCTGACTACACACTCTACAAAGCCTCCCTCAAACCACAGCATCAAATAATCCTCCACTAAAAATGATCGGTACATGAGGTAACTGCCAGTATTCCTTAGGTTCAATAGGGCTGGGCTAGGCTAGGATAAGCTAGCTGGTATTTTGTCTTGCGCGGACCACAGCCTTGCTAAACCTCACTAATCAGCCCTGCCTCAAAAGGTCTAATGGTCTCATCCACTTCTTGTTTTGTTTATACATTCACATGGGGTTTGTTAAACCCTAAACACTTAACATAACAAATGTTCCCTCCCGGAGACATTCAAATCTGTATGAATAGTTCGCACTTATGGATAAACTAGAATGATCAACTTCAAGATGTTTGAAAATGGACTTTCAGCCATTCTTGGATCGATGCATAGCAACAATGCTTCTCTACGGTCAGCGCTGTTGTATTTTCATCTTGACGTTGTGAGAACATGCACTGATGTTTTATTTAATTTCATTGAGATGACTTAAGTTTATATTTCTGTTATCAATAATCTCTATTTATGCCAAATTTAAGATAAGGAAATGAGCATTTACTGTTTAAAATACACAAGATAAGAAGTTAAATATTAAAAATATAGATGTGCAACGATTGTTGATACTATTTTATGCACCTTATGGAACGTGCATAAAACTGCTCATTATTTTTGGGAGTGATTTTAACATTAGTATGTCAGGTAATTGGACTGGAGCCAATTGATCTGGTTTATAAGACTCCTCTCATTCTTTTAATATTTGGTGGATATTTCATGTTGTCTTCGGCTTATCCTTGAAAAGGTCCCTAGGACATC